GGTGCTGAGGATCGAACCCAGGCCGCACGCATGCCAGGCGAGCGCGCTACCGCTTGAGCCACATCCCCAGCCCTATATGTATATTTTCATGTGGTATTGAAGATCGAACCCAGGGCCTCACACATGCTAGGCAAGTGTTCTACTGCTGAGCCACAACCCCAGCCCCCCCAGCTTATATTTTTAAGTTTTATTATTAAATGCATGCAAGCTTAAAGTGCATTTGCTAGCAAATAGAATATATTAATATTAGAAGTCATCCTCTTTATCTCCATACCCTGTAGTCTATTTTTTTAATTTTTTTAATTTTTTTATTTTTTTATTTTTTTGGGGGGGTATAAAAATTTATTATACATAAAGAATATTACCACTAACGAATGCAGACAGGCGAGGACACAATGGTACTGGATGGAAGATGGCTAGCTCTTTGGAACAGGTTTATAAGTGGCTCAGTGCTTCATGCTGATTGGTCAGTCAGACAGAAGGGCACATGCCAAATACAAGAGGACTTCAGGGCATCAAGCGACTGCTCTGTATGCCCACACTACCTTCCTTTTCTGATCCAGGGCTTCAAAAGATGGCACACCCAGAAACAAGAACTGAGGCAAAAGGGCTTCCTAATGCAGCCCAGTCTTGTCTCTGAAGTCACAGCAACACCACTGTAAGCAATATGTTTAATTGGATGATTTCCACAAACTATGGAGTTTCTAACCATCACAATTCAGTGAAGTACAAAACATTAAGTTACAGGCTGTGGGAAAGAAGGCAGCACCAATGGTGGCACCTTCCAATCCTGGTTGTTCTAAGGGTAACGGGTGGGGGGAGTCTTTTTTAAACAGAGCCCCTCATTTCAATGTACAAAAGAATTACTCTGATCGATATTAAATTGTATTGAAAACAAAATGGACTAAAAAGCAAAACTATTCTATGTTGGGGTGGAGGTGGGAGGAAAAGAATGAGTCCTTCAGAGCAGGAAGGAGAGAGCTGGGGGAAGCTTCTGTGGCTGTGACCCAGGAGGGTCACTCACGCTGCTCCATTTTTACTTTCGGTGGTCTCAGGAAGGTCCGATTTTTCTTCTCTTTCTTCCCCTTTGTATTTGCTTGGAAGTTTCGCCAGCTGTCCACCCGACCATCTCGACTTTCCTCAAAGTTTTTCTGCCATTCCCTTTCTCGTTTGGCTTTTTCTTGAGCTTCAATTTCCTCTTCCCTTTGTCGTTTCCTTTCATGCATCTCTTTGGCTTCTCTCTCTTTTCTTTTAATTTCCAGCTCAGCAAAGAGTTTCATGGTCTGTTTATATACTGCTTGTTTGAACAGCTCAGGATCATCTTCCTCTACATTTGTAGGTTTTCCTTCCTTCTTTGTTTTTTTCCGCTCTTTTACAGTGTGTTTCACGTATTCTTTTCCTGCCTGAATTACATCCAGGGCCCTCTTCTTATGTTCCTGATCCAGTAGCAACTTGTAAGCTTTGTCCACAGCTTCAAAAGCCTTTTGTGCTCTATCAGCATCATCTTG